AGGCGTGCGCAGTCCAGCAGCAGCCCGAGGCGGAAGACGGCCAGGCAGTTGGAGAGGCACAGGCGCTTCTGCAGGAAGGACACGCAGATGGTGAAGATGGACGGGATCTGGAAGCGGTGCGCCGCGGCGAACAGGTCCTGCACGCTCGCCTCGTCCAGCGCGATCTCCGACGTGTACAGGTAGTGCAGCACCTGCGCCACCACGTCCGGGGCCACCTCCTCCAGGCGCAGCTCGCCCGCCGGCTCCGGCTCGGCCAGGAAGCGCGCCCGGAAGTAGGGGCTGCAGGCGGCCAGCACCAGGCGGTGGCACGGGAACTCGCGCTCGCCCACCCGCACCACGCAGTCCAGGAACTTGCCGTGGTCCAGCATGTCCTTGAGCCCGTCCTGCAGGAGCGTCTGCTGGTACAGCCGCTGCTCCTCCGCCTGCTCCAAGCCCAGCGCCATGGTGAGCGGCCTAGGGTGCAGCGAGCAGGGGTGCCAGGGGCCTCCTCTCTCTGTTCCCTGCTTTCCTGCTGGGTTGTGCTCCGTCTCTGCAGCTGTCTTGGTGGGCTATATATAGAGGTGGGCCTGGCCCTGTAAGGCGAGCTGCCTGGCCTCCGGCACATGACGCAGAGGGGACAGCTGGGCAGAGAGAGGCCCTCTCCCAGAGCAGCCTTGACTCAGCCCCACGGACTCATGGGACGGGAGTGGGGTTTCTGGGCCCTGCTGGGAAGGTGAGGGCCTCACTGCCTCATTTCTAAATGGAGCACAGCGCGGCCTTGATCGCATTCCGAGGTTGGGCAGTGCCCCTTGGGGGAGGGGGTGACCCAAGCTCTGCCCCTTACATTAGGGAGGGGCAGGTATTGGAGTCCCACCTTCGGTCTCCCTTCATGCCTTCTGGGTCTTTCCATCAGGTGCCTCTATTTCCTCTCTGGAGTATATCTCACTCCAGCCACCTCTGGATACAGTGTGCTTGGGTCCGTGCTCAGAGAACTTGAGCATGACATTCAGTCATTGGGGACCTTGTTGTCCCACCTTTAAAATGGGAAGATCTTCTCCCATGTCTGCCCCAGCTCTGAGATGCTCCTTCAACTGTGCAAGAAAGCAAGTAGGGGCCTTAGGTAAACAAGATGGCCACTTTTTAGGGGGAAATATATATATATTGATTTCAGAGAGGAAAGGAGAAGGAGAGATAGAAACATCAATGATAAGAGAATCATCGGCTGCCTCCTGCACGCCCCCTACTGGGGATAGAGCCCGCAACCCGGGCATGTGCCCTTGACCGGAATCGAACCTGGAACCCTTCGGTCCGCAAGCTGACACTCTATCCACTGAACCAAACCTGCTAGGGCAAAATATATATTTTTATTGATCTCAGAGAGGAAGAAAGAGGGAGAGATGTAAACATCAATGATGAGAGAGAATCACCGACTGGCTGCCTCCTGCATGGGTGGCCACTTTTCTGTGGAGCCTGGGGCAGGTCAGATCTCTCTGTTGAGCCTCAGTTTCCCTTCCTACCCTATGAGGAGGTGGGGGAGTTAGACTAGGAGGGCCTTAGCTGAGGTTCAGAAGCACTGAGGTTCTGTATTCCTAGGAGTACACAGTCACAGGGTATTAACACTGTTAGGTGTCAGACATGCTAGAAAATTAATTTCCTAGAATTCGACTATTCTAGGTGTTTAAGCCCCAGGTTTTTAACATTCTGGGGGAGGGACATTCTGGATTCTAAGGTTCAAAAAGACGTTCACTGTCTATGCTCATTGGTCTTGGCCCATTCTAGGCTTGGCCTGAGCCTGCCTGGCCCTAGGGCCCCTGCACCCTGTGTACAGCCTAAGGAATCAGGGTAGAGGCCCAGGACAGCCAGTCCCTATGCCCACACTGCTCTGGACTCCTGAACACCCCACCCCGCTCCACACACACACACAACAGCCTCAGCCACCAAGATTAACTTGTTTCCAAAGTGCCAGAGGCTGCAGCTGTGGGTTAAATTTAGCCCCCGGGACACTGGTGTGAACTGTTATGGGGTATTCTCCCATCATTCCTCTGAGTCACTTGTTTATAACGCAGGCTTGGGGGGATGGGAGGATTGGAGAGGGGACCTCAGGCTGGGCCAGGACTGAGTCACCTCCCCTTTTGTGATCTCAGCCATGTCACTGCCTGTTCCTCCTGAGCAGTGCATTTGACCATCCCTTGCTCACCCTGCCAGCAGGTCCCAGAAGGCACAGCACCTGGGAAGGCCCTGGAGTTCTTGTCCACCTTGCAGAGAGGACAAGGAGGATGAGTGGTGGGCTTCCAACCCAGCCCTGGACTGCAGGGCACTTCCAGCAAGTACTGTCAGTGACACAAGGCGCTGAGAAGCTAGGCAACTTGGCCAAGCCACACAGCGGACAAGTGGCCCAGCCCGGATTCAAAGCCGATCTGCCTGCCTCCAAGGACTGTGGGTATCCTTACCTTACCGCTTCCCACAAATTAACAACAACAACAAAAAAAGGTCAGACAGAAGGTACTGACTGAACAATTAACTTATATTTACCAAATGACTCTACGATGTATTTTTAGATCATGATGAATCCCATCGTGCTCACTCCCTACCAGGCATTCCATTACGTGGCTCATTCATTCATCGAGAACCTGCTGAGGATGCACCTGAACATCAGGCAGGAATTCCTGTCTTCATGGAGCTTATATTCAGCCCAGGGCGTGGGGGTAGGAGGGTGGGTGTGGAAGACAGCAATAAATAAATTATTATGCAGCATGTCAGATGATACTGCTGTGGTGACAGACAGCAGGAAAGGGGGTGTGGGGAGTGACAGGTGGAGGTGGTAACAATTTAAAATGGAATAGTCAGGATGGGCTCACTAAAAGGTCTATATTTGAGCAAGTTCAAGCCATGGAGAAAGCAGGACTCCAGGGAAGGGAACAGCTGGAGCAAATGCCCTGGGGCAGGAAGTGTCTGGCTCATTCTAGGAACAGCAGGAGGCCAGTGGGGCTGGAGCAGTGAATGAGGTGAGTAGGAGATGGCGACAGAGAGGAGAGGGTGAGGGACCCATGCAGGACCGCGTGCGGAGTGTACAGCGTTGGTTTTCCCCTCAGTGAAACAAGGAGCCACTGTTGTTGCTTTAAATCTAATTATGGAAAATGCAAACATATACAAAGGTGGAGAGAATAGTATACTGACGTCCCATGTACTCATCATCCCACTTCAACAACTATCAGGTCATGGCTAGGCCTGTACCCACTCTGTGAATGACCCAGGGAGATTGGATGTGGGTGTAGGAGAGAGAGGGAGGCAGCGTGACTCCACTGCTTTTCACTGAATCAAAGGAAAATGTCATCTCATTTCATCCCTTTAATCTTCACATCAATATTATGAGGTAGGTATTAGTTTCCCCATTTTATAGAAACTGAAATTTAGATGGCTAGCAAATAGGGGATCAGTCTTATGTTGTTTTTATTTAGTTATTTAGTTATTTATTTTTATTGACTTCAAAGAGGAAGGGAGAGGGAGAGGGAGATAGAAACATCAATGATGAGAGAGGCTCATTGATCAGCTGCCTCCTGCATGCCCCCTACTGAGGATCGAGCCCACAACCTGGGCATGTACCCTGACCGGAAATCGAACTGAAACCTCCTGGTTCATAGGTCAATGATCAACCACTGAGCCACTCTGGCCAGGCTGTTTTTAGACAACATTGTTGAGGCATAAGTGACACCCAATAAACTGCCCATATGTAACGTGTACAATTTGATAAGTTTTGACGTATGTATAAACATATGTGATTGTGAAACCCCATCAAGGTAGAGGGATATATCCACCACCCACAAGTCACGTCGTGGGACTTGTGACACCCAGTCAGACATCCCCAAGGGTTCCTGGACTGTGAGAGGGCCCAGGCCGGGCTGAGGGACCTGCTCCCCACCCCCCACCCCCCAAGTGCACTAATTTTGTGCACTGGGCCTCTAGTTTTTCAATAGTACCTGGCCTGGAAAAACCCCTCTGCTGGGCAGAAGTGGGAACAAGTGACAAATTAAATTGTCATTGGAACCTCAGCCCACAAAAGTAGGCCTGGACCTGCATGCTAAGCCTAAGCAGGCCAACTGTTTGTTAAAAAAAATAAAAATAAAAAAAGAACTCAGAGGCTCTAACATAATAGCCAACATGTCCAGGATGCAATAAAAATCACCCGTCATCATAATAACCAGAAAAGTCACAACTGAAATGTGGAAAGAACCAACTGACAGCAACACGGCGACGAACCAGAGGTTGGGGTGATCGGCCAAGGGGTTTAAAGCAGCCATTGTAACAATGCTTCCCCAAACATCACAAAACCGTTTGAAACAAAGTTTTATAAATTGAAAGAAAATCTCAGCAAAGACATGGGAGTTATACAGAAGAACCAAGTGGAAATCAGAACTGAAAAATAGAATAACAGAACTAGAAACTTGCTGGATGGCCTAGTAGGAGCGGGGAGATGACAGAGGATAAGTGAGTGCACTTGAGGGCAGGTTAATAGAACACTTCCAATCTGAAGAATAGAGAGTATATATATATTTAAAAAAATAGAGTGAAAAAAAATTGCATCTCAGGCCCATGAGACAACAAAAGAAGTCCTCTAAAACTCAACAACAGCAAACAACCTGATTGAAAAATGAGCTAAGGAACTGAATAGAAATTTTTCCAAAGAAGACCCATAGATGGCCAATGAGCACATGAAAAGATGTTCAATGATGCTAATCACTAAGGAAATTAAGCCCAAACTGCAAGATACCACCTCATGCCCATTAGAATGGCTACATCAAAACAAAACAAACAAACAGAAGATGTACAGAAATTGAAAGCCTTGTGCACTGGTTGGCGGGAATGTAAACATGGTACAGCCACTATGAAAGACAGTATGCCAGTTTGTCATAAAAATAGGATTACCACATGATCTAGTACTTCTGATAATATACCCAAAGGTGTTGAAGCGGAGTCTCAAAGAGATATTTGTACACCCACGTTCATTGCAGCATTATTCACAATAGCCAAAAGGTGGAAGTAACCCAATGTCAATAGACAATAGACAGATAAAGGGATTTTTAAATGTGGTATACACACATATACACTGGAATATTATCCAGCCTATAAAGGACGGAAATCCTGACATATGCTACAACACAGATGAACCTTGAGGACATTAAGCTCAGTGAAAAAACATGTCACAGAAGGACAAAGATTGCATGATTCCACTTATAGGAGGGATCGAGAGCAGTCAGATTCATAGACAAGGAAAGTAGGTAGAATGCTGGGTGCCAGGGGCTGGGAGTGGGCACGAGGAACAGGGAGTAACTACGAAAGGGTGCAGAGTTTCAGTTTTGCCAGATGAAAAGAGTCTGTGGATATAGATGGTGGTGATGGCAGCACAACAATGTGAATGTATCTAATGCCACTGGCTGTACCCAGCCTATCCTGACTTACCAGTCATGACTCTAAAAAGCCACGTAATCAGGGGCCAAGGGCACTGCTGAGCCAGGGGCGCATCACGTCCTCATCTCACTGCCCCTGCTGTGCCCTAGAAGGAAGGAAGGCCAGCTCTGTCCAGCAGCCAGCGCTGCTCTGCCCATGTTCCAGGCCACCAGGTGTTCGTGAGCTGGTTGGGCCCAAAGAGCAAAACGGAGGAGAGTGCACAGAGATGCCAACTGTGGTGCCCACCATTCATGGCCCCCAGCCACCCAGCGGCCTCTGCCTCCCAGCCTTCCATGCACATGCCATGTGAGGGTGAACTTGGAAATATAGTTGATCCTTGAACTATGAGGGTTTGAACTGCATGGCTCCACTTATACATGGTATCCTATATAATAAATCCTATATAATAAAAGCCTAATATGCTAAGTCGTCTGTTCAACCAAAGCGTAATATTTAGCTAAGGCCGCTCAACCGCTCACTATGACGTGCACTGACCACCAGAGGGCAGGCACTCTGACCGGTAGGTTAGCTTGCTGCTGGGGTCCAGCCTATCAGGACTGAGTGAGACAGGCCAGACACACCCTGGAGCCCTCCCGCAGTCCCTCCCTGGCTGGCCAACCTGCCATGTCCCTCCCCAGCCCCAATCACACAAAGGATGTCCGACTGCCAGGCCTAAGCCGTCAGTCAGACATCCCCAAGGGTTCCTGGACTGTGAGAGGGCCCAGGCCGGGCTGAGGGACCCGCACCCTCACCCAAGTGCACTAATTTTGTGCATCGGGCCTCTAGTTTTTCAATAAATATGTACAGTTCTATAAATGTATTTTTTTTGTAATTTTCTTAATAACATTTTTTAGCTTATTTTATTGTGAGAATACAGTATATAGTAGAGATAAGATACAAAATCTGTGTTGCGTGATTGTTAGTGGTAACGCTTCCAGTCAACAGTAGACTGAGTAGCTAAGTTTGGGGAGGAATCAAAAGTTATATGCAGATTTTCTAGTGCATTGTATTCGGTGACCCTAACCCCCACATTATTCAAGGGTCAACTGTACTTTGAGGATGAGGGAGGTGGGGTGGGGCTGGAGGAAAAGGCTGTGTAGAGGTGACAGGCAAATGGATGGGTAGCAAGAAGGAAGAGAGTGGAAACAGAGAGGCCGACCAGCCACGAGACCAGGGGAGCAGCCAGGCCTCGGTCTGCTGGCAAGCCTTTTTCTAGGGTGACCTGAGTGAGCCCCTGTTCCTTTCGACCAAGAAAGCGGGCCTGTGTGAACAGGCAGCATCCACGCCCGGGAACCTGCACCACCCACCGGCCTCCGGTCCTGCTTCCCAGTCAGACCCCGCCCCCTGCATCCAGAGCTAAGTGACATGAAACAGGGGCCTCATTCACCACAGATCCCTGGGCCTAGAGCCCCACCTGCCTCAGAGGCCACTACCTGTCTTTCATCTGAGCTTTTGTCCTCCCAGGCACCCACCACAGCACCTCTGATACCTGGCCCCTCCAGAATCCCCGCCCACGAGGGGAGGAGTGAGTCCACAGGGCTCGTCACAGCACCCCCAGTGCCGAGCATGAATGGGAGGGACCCCGGTGGCTACACACCTGGTGCTCACAGAAAACCACACCTGCAGGGGCCCTGGCCTCCTGTGGCACTGCCTTCAGGGCCTCGACCTTAGGAGCCCCAGGACCTCTCCTCTTTCAAGCCCATTCTGCACCCCCTCAAAGACCCAGCACCCGTTTGGGGTGCACCTCTGCTCTTGCCTCAGCTCCGGTCTCTGGGTGTTCCCCAAAGCTCAGCCCACCGTAAGGGAGGGAGATGGGGTCCAGGGCATGATGTCCATGCTGTCTGCAGCCGAGCTGCCTGGTTCCTTGCTCTGGTTCAAGTCTTTAAATCTAGCCGATAGTCCGGGCAGGCAACATGTAAAGAAGAGACTGGGCCAAGAAACAGTTGTACTGAATTTATTCCCCTCACTCTTTTCACTCACCCACCTGCTGTTCCCCACACACTCTGTGGCTGTGGGGTGGCCACACATGACCAGACATCAGGGGTCCACAGGCCTGGGCACAGCCATGCTGCCACCGCTGTGAGGGGCACTGTGGCAGCACATGCCAGAGTCAGAGACTCAGACTCTAAGGCCAGTCCCAGATCCCAGAACTGTGATCATGGGGCTGGAGGCTTCCCTCTGGCCCAAGACCAGAGAGCCCTGGGGAAGCTGGGGCAGGGACAGGCCCAGGTTCCGGACCTGAGATCTGGCCAACGGGGCTGAGAAGTCCAGATGGACAGACCTCCTCACGGCCGAATCCCAGTGGAGGTGATGAGCTAAGCCCCTCCCCACCACCTACTGCCAGCCCTGGGGTTGGGTAGGAAGCCCCAGTACCCTCAGTCCGATATCCAGGTGCTTACTTTTGAAATAAAAAGGAAATGGAGAAGCTGGTAAAACAAGAACCCCGTTGACACTGGAACTGCTGAGGTTCCATTATTGCTTCAGGCCCCCCGAGGTCTGGCTGGAAGGGTGCTCCCACCCAATGGCCCAAGGGGAAGAGAGCATTTAGCACCAGGGACATGGGGCTCCTGTCCCCACTGGGATGGGGCCTCCCGGGAGAGGACTTGGCTGCACCCACTTAGACAGCTCCAAGACCATTGTGACCGGAGCCCCGCCTGCTGTCTGGACCCCTCTCCTGCCCTCAGAGGGAAGGTATAAAAGAACAGGGAACCCAAGTCTTAGGACAGGGGTTCACAACCAGCTCCCCCAACCCCCCAATCTCTGGCCTCTGCTTGTCAAAGTCTGGCCTGACAGACCAGGGGCCCCGCCTGGCCAGGCCCCCAGGCTTGCTAAGGCTGCAGTGGGGCTGGCTGGTGACAAGGCCACCAGCCCCTAGGGTAGGGTAGACCCTGGTGTCAGTGACAGGGGGTTGGGGAACCCATGGGGCTCCCGGCCTAAAGCCCATCGGGGGGAGATCAACCTTTTTTTTGGAAAATGTGAGCCAGCTCTGAAGAGCTGCCAGGCACTGGGACCAGAGGTTAGAAATAGCAAGCGTGGGGGCGTGGGGAGGGGGGTCCCTGAGGACATCATGGAAGCCCAGAGATTAGAGGTACAAGAGAGGGAAAGAGCTACAGTAACGCAGGGCCCTGGGAGGCCCAGCCTTGGGGTGGGAGCCAGACAGGAAGCCGTCCTCTCGGGGAGGGGCCCACGTTCAGTCCCGGGAGGACGGCAGGGGCCCCAGAGGGTGAGTCTGTGGGCTCTGGCTTGTACTGCTCCTGCTGCAGCCCCCGAATCAACCGGGCCAGGGCACTGCCTGCTCCACGCCCAGAGAGCGAGCGGGCTGTGCGGCTTGGATTATACACCCTCAAATCACTCGGGCTCCTCGGGCCTGCCCACATCTGTACAGAATAAAGTGCTTCGTTTATTGATGATTAAAATGTGCCCAACCCCCTGCCCCAGCGCCGTGGGCCTCACAAGGAGGTCAGTGGGGTTCTAACCCCCTCAGCCCTCAGGCCGATGGGGCCCAGTCCCCCCACCACCCCGCTGGGGCTCAGGCCTGCTCCCACTCCAGCCATGCTGGGAAGGCGGTGGTATGGGGGTCGTCGTGGGGGTTTAAGGTGCAAAGAGTATAACAAACAAAACCGTATAAACAATAGGAAAGAGCTTAACTAGGAAACATGTAGCTTATGGAACCTTCCTCCCCATTTTAAGGGCAGGAATAAAGATGTTAAATGACAACAAAAAAAGGGTGACCTGTTAGTGCTGGCCTCATGCAGGCAAGCATTGGGCACAGGCAGGGACTCCCCTAGGACCCTGCCCCGACGCGGGGCCTGACCGTGCAGGCTCCTCAGGCTCCTCTCACTAACAATGCCACAGGCACCCGCCACCAACGCAGAGGCCCAGAGGGACAAGGGTGCCGGACACCAGCCATGGGCAGGTTGTGGCGGGGCCAGGAGAGGATGAGGCCTGGCATTGCCTTCAGGAAGCATGATGGACAGACACACACATCTCCTCTCGCGTGGGAGACAGGGCCGGGACAGCTGGTGAGGGGTGGGTGCTCTGTGACCAGCAGCTCTGCCCTCTGCCCCCGATAGCACCTTGAAACCTCAGAACACTTGTCCAGGCCTCCCCCTAGGCCCTGCTCCTGGGGGCCACCCATTTGCAGGGGCTCCTTGACTGTAGCCCCTGGGAGCTGGTGCCGGGGGAGCCGACCCATCTGCCCACCCCAGGCCTCTCCCCAGCATCTTGAGGCCCAGGGACCTCGGTGCAGCCTGGTGCAGGTCGGGGACCCCTGTGCTTGCTGGCAGGGCGATGGGTGGGGAAAGCAAATGCCGGGGTCCAGCCCCTGCCTGCCCCACTCCACATGGTGCAGAGCTGAAGTCTTCACGCCTCACCAGGCCCCACCCAACACGCTCCTGGGCATTCAGTCTCAAGCCCCTGCCTCGGTGTCCACAGTCCTCAGACTGAGTCCACAACTGCTCCCGGGGGGTTGGGGGGAAGGGGCTGGCACCCCAATCCCTTTAGGACAAGGAAGCAAGTTAGGGGACACAGGGGAGGCAGGGAGGAGCCCGAGGCTGGCCCAGGCTCAACCTGAACAACCCTCGGCTCAAGCCTCAGCAGAGTGACCAGTCACACCTGCGCTCCAGGCGGCCACTTCCCCTGTCCCTGCTGCCTCCAACGCCCCCCTCACCTGGAGGGGGTACTGCAAAGCGTTTCCTCTCTTTTTCCTTCACCACTCAAAAAGGGGAAAGGCTTCAAGGAGTCCCTGAAAGGGGGCACTTGGGAGTGAGGTGTCCTCCACCAGCTCTGGGGGGCAGCCAGCCTGCACCCTTGCCGGGCTGGTGTCTCGCTCCCGCTGGCCCTGGGCTCCAGGTCCTGCGTGTGTAGGTCAGGGCTGGTTGTTGGCGCTCATCCTCCCGCCGCCGCTGTTGGCC